CCAGTTCTGAAATCTCACCCTCCGAAAACACTACATGGATGTGATAGAACACATCCCTGCTGCTGGAACAAGAACTCAGAGAGTATAAATAAAACACCTCATTCACACATCATATTTACACAAGATGTTAGACCAGCAAGCCACTTCTATATCATGACACTTCACAGGTTAGACTGAAAAAGTACCTAAAAGATTTTTCTTTATGAGTAAATCCTCAGCTTAATCTGCTTTAGTCAAAGACAGTCTCAACTAGGCTGTGGCTCTAAATTATTTTTTTCCTCACACGTATTAAGCATACTAAGAAGGGACTTTTTTAAAAAGTTATCAATCTGATTTTTAAAATCATGACCATCAGGAATGGAACATAACTATCACTCCATTTAAAAGGTAATGTGTCTTTATATTTAAAATCACAAAGTAGGCAAAGCCAATACTTAAATAACAGAAGGTGATCATTTGCACTTCAAAATTCATCTATCTTGCTTTTCCCTCAATTAGACCAAAACATGTTGATCCACAGGTTTGTGTGTGTGTTTGTTTCTTTTTAAAACTTATTTATAGAGCAGAATAATGGCCCCCCTGCTAGGCTGGCATTTGCTCAAGTTTCTATCTGTGTAAATTGAATCTGTTACTGGAATTTTCCCCCCTTCAGAATACCAAGGCACATTAACCAGGAGATAAAGAGATACATTGCCGATACTATCAGCCACCAGGCAGGTGGATAATGTGAGGAATTTTTTGTTAGGTTTTGTGGGTTTTTTTTTGACAAATATGTGATAAGAGTTCTCAGGGGGCATGGAGAGCAAAGGGCTGTTTAAACAGAACTGAATCATGCTCATCTGATCTGCTAGTCATTTTGTATTCAGACATCAGCTGCTTAGCATACTTTAAAACATTCAGAAAACAAAATTACTATAAAAGTAGTAAACTTAAAGAAAAAAATACAAAAACTTCACATAACCTGTATTAAGGTAGCAGACATTCTCAGTTACAAGTGCTTGATTTCTTCTTTAAAAGCAAATAGGTTATTCTTGGCCAAAACCCTCACAGTTTTTGAAGTGGTGTTGAGTTTATAAGGGATGATTTATAATCCATCATTTCCCTTGTGGGTTAGAGAAACAAAATTTGACTTATCATAGGTGAACAGCAAAGAAGATTTAGTTTGGCCATCAATCAAAGCATAACACAGGCACTACGTTTAGGCATCTGCAGATAGCTTTGTTGTCGCAGGAGTTGGTCCAGCACGAACTTTTTTTCCTCGAGTGTAACTATGCAGGAGTAAAGAGAGTTACACAGCTTTCCCAGCAGATTCAACAGCACCATAAACCATCACGACTCTGAGGTTGCAAGTACAACTCTCGTTCTGTAAATCGTGACAAATAAAGCGCATCCTCTGGCTGGGAAGTTCAGCACAGCAGCGGCAGCAAGTGGAACAGGAACATCCATTAATGGTACAATGCCACCTGCCGGCAGTAGCGGGGAAGTGCCACTCACGCGACACAGCCCTGCTTTCAGTTCATGCACATATAAAATGACAATTGCCATTTCATACAAAATTAATTGTATTGCTAGCAGGGAATGCCACGTAGCTTTCAAAACTATCTCTTCCCTCGTCTTCGTGACGCTTCTCCATTTATAATGTTTGCATTTGTTCTGTTATTTTATACATCTGCTACACAATCTCTTCTCTACGTCAGCACTCGCACTGCCCTGCTGCTTTTTAGAGTTTAACAGGAGCTGAGCTATTCACCATGGCAAGGATCTGGTCACTGCTTCTGTATCAATATTACCTTGCTTTGCTCTAACACAAGGTTATAATCTGGTGTACTGGAAGCCTCCGATACAAAATCCTAGATCCTCCAAGCAAGCTCCACACAGTCGGACCTTTATGTTCCCCTGGGTCTGAAAAGCTTCAGCATTAATACGTTGTTATTATTCCTAGCCCCGCCAGGAATTAGATTCTGATATATAAACTGTAGAATATAGACTCTGGTTTTTCCTTCATCCAACAAAGCAAGTTAAAATTCAGGAACGTCACTGCTAAGCACTTTAGAACTTGTGCTGTAAAAAAGTAACACCTAAAACCTTATTAAAAAGATTGTTTCAAATACATTCTTACATCTTTTATATTTTTTACATCTCTGCAATACAAATTTCTACCTATCTTAAATTGAAGATATCGTACAATGTTTAAATTTCGCATTTATCTTCCTTTTTCTACCTGCAAAACTTGCTCCTCAAAAAACAATGCAGAAAAAGAACTGCATCCCAAGTTCTGTCTCTGACACCAGACCTTAAAAGACAGCATTTTAATAAAGACATCTTCCCTTTCTTGCATACTTTTAATGAGTGCATTTAAATAACAAAAAGTTGAAATCCCATTACACACAAGTTAACTTACCCAAATCCTATTCTAGCATGAACTCTGATGAAAACACAAACCAAGTTAAACAGATCAAGACAAAACTTTAAAAGCCAAGTTTTACTGTATCCTTCAGCTCCAAGAAAAGGAGAGGGAAGGCTGAGTACCCAAATGTAGGGCAACAGAGCACACAAAACTGGAACTATCAGGAAATTCAAAACAAGAAAAAGACTCACTTTATGTCACTTTATTTAGTCACTGTGTTGTATTATGAGAAGAAATCATAAGACCTGATGAAATTTTGTGAAGATCACTCATTCACCTCTATGAAACTGCAGCCCTTTCTTCAGCAAGAAAACATGCAAGCTGTGAGAAATATTTACAACCAGTTTTAAAAAGCAACTTTAAAAGAATTAAAAAACCCAATTTAACAATTTCTCTTAGTGTACCAAACTGAAGCACAAGTATAATTTTAAAATCCTTATTCCAAGAACCAGCTGGAGGAGCAATGCTGTCACAATAAAGGGGAGACATGGGTTCCAGAGACATGGTGCACTCCTCAAAATGAGAAAAGATCATCCAAGAACGGTTGTTTTTTGCTTGTTTTGGTTTTGTTTTTCCTGTAACATCAGAGCCTAAAGACAGTCTACTAAACTAACATGATCATTTTTTTTAATAGTGATCAAAAGTTCTAGAGCACAATTTACCAGCAGCAGTAGCCCTAAGAAAGATGCTTTGGACTCAGCCATGCACCATTATTGAAAGTACAGGTATTAAATGATGGCTCAGAATAGAAAGGCTTGGCTCCAAAATACATTTTGTACTGCCAATTTATACCAGTACATATCACCCTTCTGCACAAAAATTAGCATGGAACAGCTACACTATAGAAAGTACACTTTGCAGATATAACATTCAGATCAAGGAACACGAACGGTAAGAACGATCACGTTGTATCAACTCAGCCATCTTGCATATATCCAATATTTGCATTTGCAAATCTTCACTTTGCAGCTTGCCAGTCAGACACACAAAGCAAGCTGCAGCCTGGGGCAGGGCAGAGAGGGCGGAGAGGAGAGGGCAATTTAACCAAGGGAGCCCGGATGGACACCACACCTGTGCTGTGAGGTGGAAATAATGATGGCGTGGAAAACTTTCTTCTTGCACTTGGGGACTTCTAAATATTATTTCAGCTGATCCCTAAACACTTAATTACTGCAGAAGTTGGCTGGCTGGGGCTTAGGGGGCAAAATATGCCTCTCTTTGGATCCTCATTAAAATACAGAAAAATTAAGCTTTGACTTTCACAGCTCATTAATGATGACAGGGTGGGAAAAGGCAGCACTTCCATCTTTGCTACTTCTCAGCTAGGGAGCGGTTTGTATGAAGCTGGGTTAGGGAGGCAGGAGAATGCCTCTTCCTGACAGGACATGGTGTACACTTCTACTGAACAATCGCAAGAATGGTTCGATTTCCCAGTTTTCTTATTCCTGATTTCAAGTGGGGTGAGGGTAAAACAAAGGTGTTGGACCTGCTTTGACAGGTGAAATGTATTCTTTCCTGTAATACCTGACCTTTCGACTTGCACCTGGATAGAAAAGATTTTATTTACTATTTACCTCCAGAGGCTAGCATTAAAGCTTTGTTGAGATCCTGCCACCTTCACTCACAGACAGCAGTTTCTTACTGTGTTTCAGTCGTGGAACTGTTACAGAATAACTACCTGATGCCAAACTAGAACTTCCACTGTTGTAACTCTTATTTTGAATTTTTCTGAGTACATTTGCAGACTCCAAGCTCGAGGACTACCTGCATGCCAAGTTGCAACACCTAGCCAGACCACATGCTCAGCAGAAAAACACATGTTGGCATTTCAAATTCAGGATAAAAAAGAGAAACTGAAAATCTGAAAAGGCTTTCAGTAGTCATTTCAACTCTAAAAGCTGGAGAGTTCAAGCTAGCTATGAATTTTTTTAAATACGAAGTTGTAAGTAAAACACATGATGTTTGGCTGTCACTGCCATTTGAACACTATACTAACAGAAAAACTGGGAAAAGGAAAAGAGGCAGAGCTCAGTTTCAAGTGCCATCCTTGCTATAAAAACCCCAAGAGAGATTGATTTTATCACCCTCATGACTGATGAAAGCAGTTCTAAGAGCTCTCTAAACTATTTCAAAGCCCACTGTAGCTCATCAAAAATGTCACAGACATTTCCGAGCCTATTAGAGTTCTATTTTTCCAACTGTTACTTTTTTCTTGCCATGTTCTTTACATCTATAATTTGTGAATTTTTAAGCCTTAGTGTCATCTTTTCAGCCTGTCCTTTCCTTTATTTGCTCTTTTCAGTTATCAAGATGTACTCAGACACAGCAAATTACTGCAAGAAATGGAAGCGTTCCTTAAATTTGCATAAACACCACATTCAATACAATTACACTTCATAGAAATGATCTAACACACACCACCACAGTTCAACAATAAAGCAGTTATGATCCCTCTAGTTTAAGACATTTAGGAAAAAAGCAAAGAAAATACAGATGTTGCATGATCTTGAGCTCTATGCCATAGAGGCTCCGTGAGAAAATGAAAGCTGCTCATCTGCTTTCCAAGTGAAACATTGTAGGTGATTGCTCTAACCTGGGGCACAGTACATTCTCTCTATGGCATCGTTGTCACAGGAATCTTCAACCTCCCTCCACCTGCTAAAATACGTTAGCTGAATGTGTCCTAAAAACAAAACGACAGGAGAAATCAAAACATTTTTCCCTTCCATTTTCTGCAGAAGTGAACTGTAATTACTCCTTTTGTAGCTAAAAACAGTATCATTAAGAATAATGGCATCATTAAGTACTAGAAGCTATTACTGGGGGTGAATTTGCTGCACTGATAATGAAGCTCTAGACAGGAAATGAAGATACTAATTACAAGATAAAACGCCTACTCAGTTAATTGGAAGCAACAGCGAATAAAAAGAAATGCATTTGCAAAAGTTCCTGACCTCTATCATTCAATAAGATGTTGTTTGGGTTCAAATCGCGGCACACAATTCCTTCTCTATGTAAAGCATCAAGGGCTACAACCATTTCAGCTGCCCATCTCTGAATGCAGTCCTCTGGGATATAAAACGTGGAGGTTATCGCTAATCTTTCATCGAGGTCCTGAAAAATCTGATGTATTTCCTTCTCCTCTGCTATTGGTATCTTGTCTTCCCTCTTTGGTGCGATCTTTCCACTTTCAGCTGCTGGTAGCAAAGCCGGATCCGCTTCCTCCTTCCCCAGGGCTTCGGTTTGATCAGAAAACAGCAACACTGCCTCACTTCTTAACGTGTCCCCATCCAAGCTAACACCTTGAGCACCTGAGAGCAGGTTGGAAACAAATAAACTTTCTTCTTTGCTTGTCACATCTAAGGAGGAGGCTCCAAGCCCTTGAAAGAGAGCCCCATCTTCTGAACTACCTACCTCTCGGTCAGATGTAAAGAGGGTCCCAAGGGCTCCCTGAATGACACCACTTTGTCCATTCGCTTCCTTGCAGGAAGGATCCCCCACTACTGCTGCCACATGATTTGGCTCTTGATCAAATGCTTTGCATGGCTCTGTAGAATTATTTAATTGTAAGACATCAGGTGTTTCTAGTAACTTTATTTCCAACGTGTCCCTGTCAGTTTTTGTGAGCTTTGTTGGCCGGGACACCGCTGCCTCTTCGGTTTCATCAGACATACTGGGTAAGTTTATTAGGAGATCAGGCCTTCCTTCATCAACACTATTTACATCATCAAAAGCAGCATCCTTAAAGGAGATAACTGGCACAGAGTCATTAGAACCCCTGCTTATGGTGTCATGAGCTCTCAAATTCATTTTGCTCTCTAAGGCATCCAAGCTTCTGTCATGATCTGGGACAGAAAACAATGGCTTCAAAGGTTCCGATTTCAGGTTGTATAATTTTTCTCCAAAATCAAGCCCCTGGAGCTCACTAGTGCTATCTTTGCTGTCTATCCTGAAGAGTTCCATGGGGCTATTCTTTGATTTAGTTAACGAGTCCAATATCCTAGTAGGACTAGCTACTTCCAACTCAGCATCGTCAATGAAAAGCTTTCGTTCCTGAGACACAATCTGAGAGGTGAGGCTATCACTGCCAACGACACCGTGCTTCTGCAAGCAACTTCTCTCTTTGGTATTTAGACCATCACTCTCCAGCTTAACCACTGGTTCCTCACTTAGAGAGCCAGAATCAATTTTTTCTTGCCCATATTCATTGCATAATGTTAAATAACTAGTAGTGCATTCTTCTTCTGAGCTGGATGCCGAGTCCATCCAGTTTGAACTCTCTTGGCCATCCTCTTGGTTGCTGCTGTCATCCTGAGAGCTCGGTGTCAGGCTGCTCTGCAGTGGGACCACCTTCAGCATGCTCTCCCCATAGCTTTCTCTGGAATCAGTGCTGCTACCCATTTCTTTTGGACTTGGGGTTGGCTGCTCCAGGTAAATTTTAGTTGAACTGGATGTTGTGGCTTCAGGAATTTCAAAGCTCTCTTCAGGACTTCTGTTTAAGAACTTACTGATGTAAGACCACAGTTTTCCTCCTGCAAGAAAAGAGAGGGGGGTGGGGGGAGTGGAAATCAGTTCACTTAAAACAGAATCAGTTTCAGTATGAAATAGGCAAATACCCTCCTTGTCACAATACGTTACCTCCTTAGAGCAAGTTGGATCTGCTGCCTCAGAAGGAAATAATTACAGGACCACATTTGCTTTTCAAGCAGATCTGTATTAATACATAAACATTTAAAAAGCTGCACATGAGGTTAAGTTTTTTGCCTTTTTTTTTTTTTTAAACCTCTGTCAAGTCTCATTTCAGAGTCTGTATCAAGTTGCATGATGGTGGCTACTCTCCATCTGCTGTCTCAAAAGAAAGCAAAAACTAGGGAAAAATAAAATGTTTTAGTGCCCATCACCAGTTCTGCCTGCACTGAATTCTTCCATATCACAGCTCCAAACTCATGAGCAACATTAGAGGAGGAGCTCTAAAAACCAGTAATTATCAAGTTTGCTAAGGGGAAGGGAATTACCTCATATTAGCAGGACACTTTAAAAATCTGTTTCTCTCTTTGAAGAAGTGTTTTTTGTTAGTTAAATACAAATGCATTTCTCCCTTTAAATTCAGAACTCAAAGTTTTTTACACCTTACTGCATTACACAAGGATTTATCAATACCCTAAGTTACACTGGCAAACCAATTCCTCCACATCAAAGACTCTAAGAAAGTTAATTCATACTTTTGGAGCTGTAAATTTAAAAAATACAAAATAAGTCTTCACATTTCCAAATACTGCATGTATTAAAAAAGCTTAGAGATTACAAAATGTAATTTCCACAAAACAGATCAAGAAGTTACTGCATCTCTTGCACATGCCAAAGAATCTGGCTGAAAGCTAGATAGCCACCTTTGAGAGCTTTGGAAAAAATGCAAGTCAAAACATTTCAATTTAAAAGACTGTACAGAAATTCTGGAAAATGCAGGAGTTCTAACAAAAACTTTGTAGAAGAAAAACATGAGTATCCAGCCCACTGGGCATCTGCAAAGTTTTGATTTTTTTTATCCTGTCTTTTTTTACTTATTTGGGTAAAACAGTTTTATACTTCTCCAAAATACAGTCCTTAATAGTTATTTTTGAACACTCCATATCAGGCAAAATTCCTTTAAAAAGTACAACAAAAGAATGAAGTATTTTTTCATTGCCTAGGAACAGGTTTTATATATTCCCAGGTATTTCAAAAATAACTTATCAAAGGCAGAAAAACCTTGATACTTTAAAAACGAATTTTAGTAATATAATGTGGAGTTTTCCTGCCCTCTGCCCTCTTGGGTAAGACAAGGCTTGTGTTTGAAGGGGTAAAAAAAATAAACCTCACTGGTTATGGTGAAACTAATTATATTAAAAATAGAAAGAGGCAATTCTAACAGCTTGAGCTCAGTAGTAAAAATGACAATTTAGATCTATTAATCCACATTGTTCCTGCCACAAGCCACAAATGGGTTTAGTAGGTTAGAATGATTCTTGCCACCTTCTGGAAAATGATGAGCAAGGATGCCAGGTAAATGAACAGGAGCAAAGAGAAGCAATGCTTGTAGAGAAGGGACAGAGAACTGCTATGCCAACCCCTGTCTTGCCAAAGCACTTTAAATACTTACCCAAAGATGCACTCAAAATAACTCCGTGCTTATCCTGCCTCAGCAGCAAGGCATGGCTCACCAGGCAGCCCCAGCAGAGCAGCAGCCCTCAGCCCAGGGCTGCCTCCCGGGACAGCAACTGAACCCTGGGCTGCCCTGGGCACGAGCGACCTGCTGCCCTGCATCAGTGAGACAACGGGGCTGGTCCTGCCAGAAGAGCCTGGGGACCAGGACCCTGCCCTGCGACAGGCAGGCTCTCAAGAGAAGCCACCTGCTGTTCAGCAGGGGCAAAGGCAGAGCTGGGCACTGCCATGCCTTCTGTTCCCTGCAGGCTACAGGGCTTCCAGGGACTGGGTAAAAATAAAAGTTCTTCATCCTGTAATTACCAATGATTTTCCTAAATTTACCATTGTACATTTATCCATGCTTTTGCTATGGAATGGTTGGGAAAGAAAACGACAGAAAAAAATGAGAGATAGAGAAAGAACATACATATATTTATACACACATGAAAGACTTTCTCCTCTTTTCCACACTTTCATCCATGACAAAAGAAGCAACACAAGTTTAATTTTACACCAAGATTCTGATAATTTCACTATAATTTTTAAGTAAACTCTATTTTGCATGCTTGCAAAATAACTTTGCCCATTTTATTAACTAGACATGGAATTATTTAGGGTCATTCCATACCAAACAAAATCTCGTTTGATAACCATGTCCCTGCTGCACATAGTACAACATGCAGTCTCCACATCCTACCTGCATTATATCAATTAGTACAAGCAAAAGCTAAGTATTTCCATCTTCACATTATTAGCATTTATTATTCCAAAACCATTTTAACAAATTTCTTATGAAAACATAAATCTCAGGTTTCAAAGGTTTCAAAAACAAGACTCACAAAGACCCACATTACAGTTCTGCAGCTTTGGACAGTGCCTGGCACAACAGCACCTCAGCCTCCAGGTATGGCTTCAATGCAAACATTAGCACCAGTCCTCCCTCAGATTCAAGTAGTAAGAAAAGGTCTTTCTGATGGAGGCCTGGGTTAAGCTTTAGACCCAGGGTTGCAGAAAGCTCAAAACCTTTATTCTGTGGTCTATTGCCACAGTGGTCATTACTGGATACCAGGTGTGCTTTTACAGGTGACACCTGAGGGTCTCTCACTGACCTGAGTGTTTCATACCCCTATATTAAGATAGGAAGGGGCTGGGCTGCCCAGCAGTATGAAAACTGCAAGAATTATCTTCACACAGCTTCACTTTTCACCTATACAGAGGTCAAGCTCAGGACAACTCTTGTCTTCTGCTCCCTTCACCTGACTTCATGCAAGATTTCATGCAGCCTCCACTAGATTTTGGCCTCTACTTGAGGTCTTGATGTAGCTTAAAGGAGACCCAAGAAGGATTAAGGAAGGAAATATGGTGTGTTGAGATCAATCCTTCAAAACCCCACAGAAAAATCACTGGCAGATTAAAAAAATAAAACTAATTTCAAATGCTTTCAGCAAACCTAAAATTTGCAAAAGACAAAGAAACCCACACCTCTTTATCCTTACAGTGTTCAGGAATTCACCACTGTGAAAACAGATAGAACTGCAACAACTCATTTTCTGTTTGTAAATATCTTATCTTACCTTTATAAAAGGAAGTTGCTCATGTATAATCACTTGGACTTGGAAATCACAGTGGAAATGACTACTTATTGCAACTCCAATTTAGAGTTAAATATAAGTAAATACAGTAAAAAAAAATATTATGTCCAAATACGTTTACATACAAATATTTTGAGACTGGCCTCCTGGTCAAGTGGAAATACGTAAATAAATGCTATTCAATAATTGTGTTCCATGGTGAAAAACAACAATTTTATTCCTTTCTGAAAATGTCCAATCCAGGGTCAAACAAGAGTGATATTTGTATCTGGGTATATAATTATGCCTTTATGAATGACATACTAATAATCTTTTCCCCTCTCCCCATGTGTTGTGTAAGATCAGGAAAACCCATTAGCAAGCCATGCTAATACAGTATCAGGAATGTATAAAAACTAAAATTGCAGAAATCAATCCAAACAAGTAAGCTTCAGTCATTGTCAAACAGTCTAACATATTAAATAACTATAAAAGCTATAAAAGCCAACATTTTAAGTGAAAGTTTATTAGTGTTTAATACTCCTTCAGAAGTAGAGTATTAATAAAACTAATTATTAAGATTATTTTCTTCTACCATGAACTGACTCTACAACCACTCTAGCTCACTCTTTGTGGGTTTTTTAGCCCATGAAAATGACCAAGCTCTACATTCTTCTGTATTTATTCAATGTAAAATTACTAAGCATTGCCTGCCTTAACCACATTTCCAGCACTCTGGAGTTTATACCTCTGCTCCAGAGGCAGAATTTTAAAAGTTGGTGTCCAAAATAATCAACAGGAAATTTCAGCATAAAGTGACCAAGTGATTAAGCTGGCCAGGAATCTTGTTGGTTACATAATATTTTAATGTTCTTTTCAACTTTTCTGCAGTTTTTTTGCTATTAATAGCACTTGACACAGGAACATCCAAGAGAAGAACATACAGATATTATATAGTTCATACTATAGGATAAAATGAAACCTATCAGATCAGCAAATTTAGTCTCCTACACGTTTTTCTTCTAGCTGACAAGGAAAATTCACAACCTGTTGGATTATTCCTCACTCAGTGCTCAGACACTTACTGCTTCAGCTTCATGTCCTGAAAGACTGGCTAAGGAGACATACTCCAAAATAAATCAATGGCTTTTGCTAGCTTGGCCCCTGAGTTTACTCTGAAGGACAACATACTCCAATTCCTGCAGAACTGGAATGCAGCTAAGAATGCAGTAATCACTGTATTAAGGAAATCCCAAAGTAAAGTGAACAAAACAGGCTTCCAACCAATTGTGATGTGATAGAGAAGAAAAACAAGAGCACTGAAAGACATCTGCTTGAATTATTCTCCAAAACTGGGCCCAACTCTCTGCATCACTGCCTAAGAATTTGTTTATGGCCAGGAGTATCAATCATAACTCATGTACCTCATGCGAATTAAAATTTTCCCTTCCTGGAAAAAGAACAACCTTATGGTTTTCTTAGAATCACTGTCCTCCTTTTCAGTAAAGGCATGTCTACTGGTAAACTTCATAATGTTAATATACAGCTATGTAAGATTATGCTTGTACAGTTTCTAGGCCAAATTTGAACCAGCCACATAGGCACTACCATGATACAACAACGTTTCTTAGCATCCCAAGAGCCAGCACAGTGGGGCTGCAGCATCCACATGAACTGAAAGCCAATCTCCAACCTAATCTCTAGCATGACAGCAGTTCCAAAGACTGGAGCCTTACACGTGCAGCTGGCTCCCACTGCTACACGTGCATCTCTGCTACAAAGTTTGCTCGTTTAGGCAAAGCTCCCACTTCCTGATGCACTTTGAGCAGAAGCTATGACTCCAAAGCAGCCTCCTGAAAAAGCTGCTTGCCAAGGACCATATCATCTTTCCTGCATTTTCCGACTGCTGTCAAATCTTTACAGCCAGTACCATCTCCTTTCCCAAGGACAACTCCCCAGCTTTGGAAGCCAGAACGCTGCTGTGCTGCTGTCTATCCATTCCTGCATGCAGTAAGCCTCTTCACCATGAAGTTTCTTGAGTGCTCTCCAGACTGACAGGAACTCCAGTTTGTTTATGCTTAAAGAGATTTGACAGCTTCTAACAGCCACTTAAACTCTGATGTCCCATGGAAGCCCCCTAGCCTGTATTCAAAGCATCTGTTTCTAAAATTTCTGGGGTTCTTAGTGCCAAGAAGCAGCAAGGCCATATTAACATCAGACTGGCTCACTAGCGCACCAGAATTTGCCAAGTGCTTTCCAACAAAGCTACAAGATAACTGCATGGACTTTCACACTTCTGAGACACCCTTGAAGCCTCCAACTGCAGCCATGAGAAATGCCTGCAGGGCCCCATTCACCAATTCTGAGCATGTAATGGCATCATGATTCACCAAAGTAAGGAAAAAGTCCTCATCTGCAGGAGTCAGTAGGCAAGCCTGCAGAACTCCATGCAAAACCCCGCAGTGCTGCACTTAATAAAACAGATAAATTTACTACAAAGAGGAAATAATAAGCTGCTTAGCAAATTCATAATGTCTGCATACCATTAAAACCTCCTCTGAGTTTGCTGTAATTCAAGTCATTGCCCACAAATTAATAATTCACCCCTGAACACCCCCTCCCAAAGGTGTACCTAACATAGTAAATCATCACCACTTACAAATTTGACTGGCAGAATCTTCTTTCCTATTGGAACAGAACTACTTGGAGTGTGAATGTTAAGAACATTCATAAAGTCATTGAATAAAACTGCAGAGACTAGAATTTAAAGAGTACTGTCCTAGAAATGTTTATCCTTCCCCAAAATTGACTGCAAGCACCTTCTCTATTTATATTTGGTCTGAGATGGATGAAACTTTAAGACACCTTTATCTACAGGGATTCCTGATATTATTCTCCTTGTAATTTAAAGGAGGAGTGCTACTAACGTAAGACTGATGTGACGAAGACCACAATCAGTGGTGTGAGCTAGACTGCTCCCCACACGTAGTACAGGATAATTTTAGGCCTATTTTTGCTTTAGTTACAGAGAGCTAGAAAGTGAAGCCTTCCTCCCGAGTCGCTTTCCAGCATCAGGAAAGGGTGATCTGATAGGACAGGGTAAGGGGCACAGGCCATGCAGGTTTAGAAGCAACACAAAATTATTGCCCCAGTTAGGGATTTGGGATCAGACCCTACACCTGCAATTCACTCTATATGCATTCTTGGGCAATTTACTTATTTTGTACCCCTGGTATCCCTCTTTAGAACAGAAGATAGCATTATTCCTCCCCCCCTCTGCCTGTTTTTAGCTCAGACATTAAGTTCATTAAAGCAGGGGACTATTCTTAAAAAAAAATTAACCTTGTTAATTCCCCATTAATCAGGGAAAAGTCCTTATAGTACATAAATGGTTTTGAATGGTTTGCAAACAAGGATAGAGGAGAATCTATTTCCAAATGACTTACTGCTTTATCAGAAAAAACCCTATGCCATTTATAACTTGCATCCACAGGTGTCCAAGCCAAGTAAACTCATCTATCACCAACAACAGCCCTCACCCACATCAAAATCACTTCTGGTACATGCAGCTACCCCCTCCCTCCCCAGCAGAGCCAGTCCTCCACCCCCTCTGCAACGTCCCCAGTTCTTCCCACACTCTCTATCCCGTTTATCTTCAGAGTTCTCCCTAAAGAAAGTACTCACATCTCAGCATCTCCTCTCCCAGCACATATTCAAAATAACTCAACTCCCTCCCACGTCTCCTACTTGCATGGCTTTGACCCACAGCTTAGAGGAAGGCAACATGAGCTGTGGCTGCCTCCAAATACACGTTTGCTGCCTGGCCAGCCAAAATGAGGATGCTTGACAGACACCACCTGCACTGTTAGCAGATGAACAAATGGCACAGGGTGCTGTGCAAGGCTGCGTCTTGCCCAAACCTGACTTACTAAATGAGAAATACTTCCCTCATAGAACTCAAAACACATTACAGGCAATGTTGGTAAGAGCAAGACATCCAGGCCAACCACATTTCACTGGACTTGTTTACCGTGTCAAAAATGACCAGGAAAGAGTCATTCCTTCTTAAGGAAACACCTCATCCATCCCAAATGTTAAGTTGAGGTTTTTCTACTTAAATGAAAGTTTTGATCATGTAATGTCTCCATTTTTCTCACAGCTGTCATAATAAAATTATCACTTACAGGAGATTATCTTTGTCACCTGGTCACATTAGGCCTCAATTAAAATTTATGTTCTCTCCTTCTGACCACGACTTCCCCCAAATTTCACGATTTCTTCACCTAGTTTTCCATGTGTCTTCAGAAATATTCTTCCCAAAGAGAGGAGGAAAAACTATAGTTCTTCAGAAATCACAGAAATATTAGGAACAAGGGGGTTAAATTATTATTTAATCCTGTCTCTAGTCCTTGGTTTACGCTGGCCTTCAGGGCAGTTGGTATCTGACAAGGGTTGGATTTTTGCTTGGTTTGGAGTTTAGGGGTTTTTTAAATATATTATTCCTTGAAATAAAATGCACCAGCTTATGTGGAGATTACAGTTCAGGTGAGAGTCTCCAAGTTATCCTGATGAATTACACACACCTCAAGAGAAGCAGCGTTGTAAAGAGTAGCACTGTAAACCCCCTAGATCACCATCAGGCAGGACTGTAATGTGAGGCCTTTCTTCACGTGTCACTCCTCATGGCAAAAATTAAGTCACACACAGCAGAAACAGTCCCACATGTTGTAAAGTTACCTTTAACTGGCCACTTGTGACAAATCGTTCACGAAAAAGACAATATCTAAGTTATTAGGAAAAAAATAATATTCAAAGTAATAAAATTATCTTTTCTATCACTTAGCTTAGTTCCTTCACATCATCCATTCTGACTGAATCATTAGCATTTCCTAAAAAGAGAACTATTAGCAATCCCCAAATTTACATTCTGCACTCATTCTAAACAAATATGGGTAATTGCATTTAGGGAATATTTAAATCCAGGTGTTAGACAAAAAAAAAGTCAAAGTGTAATTATTTTGTGCCACCTGTTCCCTGTACATTTAACAGGTATTTTAGAAATAGTTCGAAGGCACAACTCTGTGGTTCTGCTTTGAACGCCTGTGTGATACCACTAGCCATTTTCTTAAAAATCCAGATCACAATAACTATGCAATATTAACCAATAGGCAACTGCTCATGTTTTTTAGCAGTTATTAAATTCTTGTATAAGTATTTGTCATTTTAACTATAAGATGCTAAAAAGATTTACTAGCCAATACCGCCGATAGTTGTTGCAGCCAAAGCACTCACTTTCCTGTAGAAAAACAGCTGGAAGCTTTCAATATTGCTACAATTCAAGTAGCACATCAGGACTTCAGGCCATTTGAAAACAGGAATTGGATCTACCGCAGAATGAGGGGAGGGAAGGGGAGGAAAGGGGAGGGACAGAGGATGGGAATGGGGTGTCTTACATGACATCTCCTGGGCACACTAAAAATATTTTAATTAGGTGCACACAAAATTAATTTGACCATTAAATGTACCATTGATTAAAACTTAAACTTTTGACTCTTTTCAACAATATACTTAAACAAGAGACAAACCTTCTGCATACTGTAGCACAAGAAAGACAGACTCCTCGGAGATGATGTACTTGTGCAGACACACCATGTTGGGCACACCGCGGGGGATGATGGTCGTTCTGCTCCTGCTGTACTCACTACTTTTCCTTAGACCCTGACAGAGAACAAAAAGGTCAGTTGTACCCTCAGTTGCCTTTGGAGCCTGCTGTGCTCTGTGTTTATCAACCAAACTAATCTATCCGAGTTACTCTGGGCTTCAGAGAAACCACTCATCTGCTGCTCTATGCCCCTCAGTCCCCCGAGGCTGTGCTGATGGCATCTGGCGTATTTCCAGAGAACAGAAGATGGCACAAAGCTGCCATTAAAATCAATTACATGGGTCAATGTTTTTATTAGAATCTCTCTCAAACTAAGTCATCAGGATGACACTCAGTTATTTCCCTGTGACCTTTTTTTTCAATTTTTATTTTTGTGTGTGACCAAAAAGACACTATTAAAAAAATTCAATTCAAGTTCTAAAGACAAAAGAATTCTTTAGCCTTATAGGTAATCCTCACATTTCCATTGTACTGTACTAAAGACAAGAATCACCACAAGAAAAAGGAAAGGAAAGGATTAGTCTCCTTGAGAGGTAATGATTTTTGGGAGGTAGCACAGAGATGAAGTTGCCAGAAGTGAAAAAAATTGATGTGTGAGGGAGAAAGGGAGGGGAGAGAGAAAGAGGGGGGGGGAAAAAATTATGTCAATAGTGTGACCTATTACAATATTGATAAACATAAGCAGTTAAATGGGAAACTCAGTGTTACCCTATCTGCCAGTAAATAAAGTGAGGTTCTAATATTCTACAATATTCACAAATAATCCTTTCTGAGGAACAAACAGGCTTTCTGTACCCTCCACACAGTTAAGACAAACAATTTCAAAGGCGAGATGCACAAAGTAAGGCAGGGTTGTAAGCCAGACCTGAAGCAAAGTTACAAAATGTTGACAACTAATTAAGCTCCATGTTTAGGGGACAGTTTTTCAGCCCTTCCTCCCATCAACAGTGGAATTCATGTCAAGGGGAACCTGAAATTACAGCCACAACAACAATACTCATACTATACTAATTCTCAGCATCACAGATGCTTCAAGCATATTGCGATCTTGATCTGAGCACTTTCTGGAGCACAAAAGAGTAATGTGAATAATTTTATTCTGACCAATTAACTATTCATTAATTCAATCATTTAGTAACATTAAACTCAATTTTCAGTCTATTGAGGTAAAACGTACAAAAGCAATTTTGAATAAGACCAGTTGTCCATTTCATCCAGAATCCACTTTGTCTGATATCATACTCTTCAGCTAAGGGAAGACCAAAGACAAAGTGGTGAGGATGTACTTGGGCTAAAGAGACTTCACCTTTATCAGCAGCCTGCACACATCCTGATCCACCAGGACCCTACAGATGTTTTAAGCAGCACAGTGAAACTGTGATTCTTTACCGAAGGCTGATAACGTGTTGGCATCAACAGCCAGTGGCACTCGAGTAAACCAGCACATCTGAGCTCTAGAGACCTTACAGGGAAAGGAATTGAAAGACAACAAACAGAATACCAACAAAAAGAATACCAGTGTTCCTAGTAGGGAAATATGTATTAACATAACAATATATCACAATGATAACCCTATACAGTAGATGCAAATGAATCTTTACTGGTCATAGTCATGTAACTTAGGAGGTCAAACTGTTTAGAGGAGTAATAAAAGACTCTACTTACCTTCAGTATGAAAGTCTGTTGTGTTCTAGTGTCCATGACAAGCAAAACCTAAGCAAAAAGCATTCAGAGAAACATTTAACATTCACATGAGCAAGTTAAAATAAGACAGTTGTTAAATCTAATGTTCAATATCCCTACAAAGGAATATCAGTAACGGTTAAAAAAATAATTAAAGCATACTTTTAATAACTAGTCTTTTTTTAGGGAAAAAAAATATGATTGAGGATATAGAACTCTAAAGAACTACAAGTACGTCACTCGATTCCCAATCAGCTAACTTAAAGAATGAATCCTAACTTGGTAACAGAAATAACCAGTATTTTATAATTACAGCAATAATCTAGCAGAACCCAACTTACAGAAGCACAACGGTAGCAACACAACGAAGCACAAAAAGTAACCTTCACATAGCACTGCCTTCCCATGTCACTTAAATCCTCACTGTACCTGCCTTCCTAGTGCAACACATTTTCCCATCACACTTCCTATACATCAAATGCATTGCCTACCAGTGAGTTACCAGAGGGGTGATTTGTTTTCTAGAGTAGTTTTGGGTTTTTTGGTTTGGTTTGGTTTTGGTTTTGATTTGGGTATTTTTGCAGGGTGGGTACATACCTGCTTTCCAGGAAGCTAAACTAAAAGCTGGGCACACACATGCCCAGACCACAAAACATTGTTTTATCAACTATACAGTCACTGCTGCCTCATTCCTCCACTGCCATTTTCGTTTTGCAGCACTCATAATCCACAACAGAAATGATTGCAAGGGAGTTCCTTCGAGCTACTATAGACTAGCATCATGGTAACAATAACACAAAAAAAATAGAGTCTAGGGAGAAATGAGTGGATGGATTTGCTGCAGAGAGAACACCTACAGCTGCACAGGGCATCTCTGTTAGGAATGCATCACCTCTACTGAAAGCATTTTAAGCACAGCACAGCAAGGAGAGAAGCATTAAACAACGACTACCCTCTTAGCATACTCCATCTATGTGTTGAAAGCAAAACAAAGAAAAATATGTATCTGCATATGTATTTGGGAAGCTGCATCTTTAGAGAGCCGGAACCCTCTGCATCTTTGTCTTCAAATCACCCTGCTCAGGAATTGTTTTCAAACTCCAAGACACAGATGTACTTGAAAAGCACCAGCTGCGAGACAGCCACATGACCAGGACAAGCACAAGCCCAACCCTCTTCTAGGAACAAGAGCAAGAGTGTGCACTCACTGTTTATTTACAAAAGACATTGTAACATTCCAGCATAAATATTCACATACAGTTATACCAAAATATTTAGACTTCAAATGCAAACATCTAAAGGGTTCCAAATGCCAGCAAGGGGGTTACCAAACCTTAATAGACAAGATGCAGCAACTCCAAGTCAATAGACAAGATGCAGTGAAAAACGAGGTTAACCTGGATCAAAAAAAAAAAAAAGACTTCTTGTAGAGGAACAACGTGTCTGAAGGAACATGATGTTGGATTCATCAGGTGAGGGGAGGACAATACAGCACACATTCTCCCTGATTTGCCTGCTGGGTGGGGCAGAGATGCAGTCATGCCTGCTGTCTCTGAAAGGGTGAAGTCTATCAGTTTGACACGACTTTCCCCACACCAAGGGAACTGCAGAAATAGCCAGCCTCTGCAGGGCCCCCAGCAAGACCAAAGACAAAGCAAGGGGAGAAGGAGATGTGCAAAGGTCCAGGCAGCTGGGCCTGGAGAGGAGGTCTCAAGGCTGGGTTGTGCTGACCTTCCCCAAGCAGTGGCCACAGCAAAGCAACCTTTGCTCTTTGGGATGGCTGCATTCGAGACACTGCCCTCAGTCTCTCCCCATTGCACACCTGAACATCTCAAGCAAAAAGAGAATTGGAGCCTTTTCTAATTATTCCTCTCTGATCAAATTTCACCAAAAGAAATAAAGTGACAGACACCTCTCCAGCTCAAAGACCTTCTCTTTTGAGTATAAAAGGTTGCACCCAGTTTTAAAAGGTGTTCTGTATCTTCTCGTAAAAAAAATACCAAGAGAAGTTGGTGTTACTGATTTTTTTTTGACAGAGGAATGACACAGTTTCCATGTCAAGGGCACGTTAAGGAAAGGCAAATGTTCCCAGGCTGCTGAGTTTGCCAAACAACTTTCTAGGCATCTTACCTGGGACTTCCAGAAACCATGGAAACCAGTTGAATAAATAACTGTAAAACTGATTTTGTTATCCTTGCTTAATCAAAAGATGTAAAATTGAAATAAAATTTTTAAAACCCCGAACAACTCAAACTATAGAGAAAATAAGAAAAATAAAAGCCACTTTACAGGAGGTGCCAAAAGAAGGCAAAAATGGTTTGGAAACAACGATGTGTTTACAGTCACTTTTCCTCCTTCTTCTCTCAAGTTTGTTTGTAATTAGACACTGTTCACATTGAAGCAATAAATACAAGAACATATGTGATTTTTTTTTTAAATGTGCCCTTTGACTGTCAATATCTCCCAAACAGGTGTTGGCTAAATGATTATAAATTGGCCTCTGGATACACCTCTTCAACTGAGCCGTACAGGACTGGCGATAATATAATTAGACCTAAAAACATCAGGCTGGTGAATGCTTTCCATCTGTTTGGCAATAATGTTTAGTTAACAATAGTCTTTAAAAGAAGCACCTTCAACTTCAGTTCTTAAAGTTATTTATAGGGCCATTCTTAACACACCAGCACTCTTGCTAACAAGAGCTTTAGCCACTTGGAAATTATTAGCCATACAGCTGTATAGGAAAAGGAATGGCAGCATTTAACATCTGTATCTCTCCAGATTTACAAGCATCAACCTCATTTAAAGTCATTCCTTAATGAACAGTTCTGTGGTCTGTACTAATATTATAGTTGCATGCACAAAGATCATAAGGAGCCAAACATTTTTTTTAATACCAACAGTAGGCCAATCAGTAATGAAGCTGTCAGCATAAAGGACAGAATAATAGCTTCTTTAACCCTCAAACAGGATTTGTTCATTTGTAGAGTAGAAGACACCAATTTAAAAACTGCTCATGGGTTTGCTCACCTTTATAAAGGCAAAAATCCAATTTGGTACTAATTTGATACAATTGTCTTTCCAATAAAAGGCTCCTAAAGCCATCTTTTATTCCATGATAAAACAACTGCTATAACTAAAACTGTCATGAAATAATTACCTTTGATAGCATACCTTATTGCACAAATACAATTAACGTATCCCTCCCTTTCATTTTTCACACTTGCTTATCAGCACTGTATTAGCATATGGTGTAACAGAACAAATTACTGAGCCCTCACCCTGTAAGACAACATATAGAACGACTACCACTAACGCAAATAAAGCAGACAACGGGTCCCTTTAGGGCCAGCTTCATCTGCTGTTATATTACAAAATCAGAATGAAAGTAGCAGCTACAGTTTTATAACTGCAATAACAATAAAATATTTGTGTGCCTTTGAGGTTAAATACCTAGATGGACTAACCTGTACTACTAACCAGCTTCATTTTTTTCCTTCCCATCAAGTGTCATACCTTCCCCCAGTGATGATCACCTACAGCTCCTCTTCATTTCATGGAAAGTTACTTCTTTGCTGAGTCAATACCGACCTTTCTGCGAGACTGTTTACCTCAAAGGGGACTTCAAGAAGCCTTTGAAGAGCCAGAAAAGTACCTTTAGAAATTCACCTAGTGAATGCTCCATTTGGCCCTGGCAGACTGCAGACTTTACATGGGCCCACCAAATCAAAAATCTGCTTCAAGGAGAGACAGCCTGCATGATGGATGTTCCAAAAAGATGGTTTAACCAAATTAATCCAAATAATTAAAGGACCACATGAGTGAATAAATCACTACCAGACAACTGACATTTTAGGAAGGGATAAGACCAGGAAAGATGGTCACAAGTATATTTGTGACTTTTGTCACAATATATTTGTGCTTGATTTTTTAATCACACATCTAGAGCACAGAAAGGTGAGCAGTTCTTGGATGCACTACCAGGGTACTGCAGAAGTGTGCAACGATAAGCCTGCCAATGACCCAAATGCCAGCTTACTCTCCTCACCTCACACTTTGCAGCAAAATTCTAGATAGTAGTCCTATCCCAAAAAGTCCTTCCTGTTCGTATTCCATCACACTCCTCCCCCACTGCAAAAGGGAGTGATTCAGTAATTCTTCCTCTATGATTTCTTTTTAAAATGCAAAGTGACAAGTCTCTACCAACAGCATGATGGGACAAAACAGGATTCCACATAGGATTCCCCATGGTATAGCTGTTCTTCTCCAGGAGCAGATCACACACAAATACTCACATTAGACTAGCTTGCAATAAGCTGATGGAACCCGTTTCAATGATGATGACTACCGTGTAACTTTTAGTATTTCATACCTCCTAACAAAGAGCTGTCAGCTGGAACATTCAGCACTCTGTCTCAGAGG